CGTTCATGGCGCTGCCTGAGGAAATGAGATTTCACGCGTTCGTTTCTCATTCCTTACCATCAAATGAGAAGGCGTAAATCACCATACCGTAGGATTCTAATTAGTGAATTCCGAGGACGTTTCGTTCTGGGGATGTCTACCACGCATGCCGGAATCAGGCTACTCGATCGAATTGGCATGAGGACTTCACGCCCTTTTTCCTTCGTCAAATTAGTTTCGATTGAACTACGTCGGCCGTTCTCGCTTTCCTCAGGCTTTCATCTTCTGCTATTTTGAGTGGGACGAACGCAGCATAGAATTCGAGGAAACGTAGAATCCCATGCAGGCAAGATTAAGTGGTTCATGAGCTGGAGTTTCTTTCTGATGGATTTCTAAAGGACTCTCGACAGAGATGTCCGCATTGAATCCATTTGTCGCACCGGCCTGAGTGGCCATTCCCATCCGCAACTCCTTACTTCGCATCGGAAATTCGTCCGTTTTGCGTTGCACCCTTCGGATTTACGACGTTTCCAATTTGATGGTCTCACTTTTTCCCTCACAGAATAATGAGGAATATTATTGCCGAACATTCAAGTCCAAAGACCTTTTCGGAAACCTATTTGTTCATGAGCTGATGAAACTCATGAAAATTTTAATTATAAATGAAATGAAATTACCGTTTCGCGTTGCCTCCAGCACCCATTAACGAACAAACCGGGAGTCAAAACGACGAACGGAACTCTTCCAAGGTGAAAGAACACGAATTCTCTAGCGTTTAACGGTTCCCCATGTATCCAAGGAACTCTATCTCGTTGATGTACGATCGCAGGATTCGGGCCATTTGCTTTCTGCGTTCTTTCCGTGCCCTTCAACACGGCTGCGGATGAATGTCTGAAGATCCCATGATAATGCGCGTTGCGGACAAAATCGATGGAAATCCGGGGGAGAAAAGCATTTTCTCTCGGGATGATGAATATGCGATCGTGGAATGCGTGGTAGATATTACATTTATTTCGGCACTATTCTTCGGAATTAAATTACGGCCGAGGCTTTCCTTGTTTACTTGACCTTTTCAAGGCCGGAATGAAAACGACTCGAAAATCCATNAAAAAATTAGCCTCATTATTTGGCTTCTATGCGTAACCTGAAATCTATTTGTGCTTCTATGATCATGGAACGTGAGTTTTGGAGATGTAACTTTTTTCAGGATTCTCAGGGATTCGGGTCTACGGAGTCTCGGCAACGACACTTTTGCCGGAAATCTCCTTCTCCGCCACTTGTAAGCCAATTGCAGCCAATTAGCCAATTTGCATCTGGTATAAATCTAAGACAGTGGCAGGGTGGAGTGATTAGAGCGGTTTTTTAAGTCCTTAAGCAACAATGGGCACAATATTTATCAAAAACATTTTGCCTGCAGCCATAGCACAAAATTATTAAAAGCAACATATTCAGAATTTCATAAAATAGCAGTGGAGCGGAGAGGCCTGGACTTTAGGGAAATAGGAATATAAAAATGCATTTGAGCAGAGATATTACATGTGATATTCGAGGCTGGAGGAATGACCAAAAGGTCTCTCCCTTATTGCCTGTTATCTAAACTGCAACTATTTGTTTTCAACTTATTCCACCGGAGCCTATGAAATTTATCAAATTCCTTGGTTTCGAGCGGACTTTCCTCCCTTAAAGCCGATCCACATCGGACCATACGATTGCTGATTCGTTCAATGAAAAAAGCTATCGCAAAAAGCCCATTTGAACAAGTCCACGTCCTCTCCAATTTCCTGAAACGAGGTCACACCTGAAAGTGAATTCCGTCCCATGTTTTGCAGAGACCTGTCCGGGAACGAAATCTCGAAGTTTCCCTGGTGGATCGTCTCGCACCTCAGTTTAGAGCGACTGTGAGTTTCCTTTTCCTCACATGTATTTTGCAAGCGAAGAATGGCGTAATTTCCTTAATTCTAAAATAATTACTACAGCCGCACGGCTTAATTACACTAATAATGTGGAAGTTCCTCGATTACCTGACAAAATGTTTCCAGTGGGATCAATAATAAACGATAGCTTCCGGAATCTGCATTTTGTAAGTCAGCGAATCCCCACTGTATGCAGCCGGAAATGCTTTGGCAGAATACCTAGCTATGAGAAATACAACTATTGGGAAAAGCCGGGATATGACTTCATTTTCCCTCTCTTTTTTCCTCCTTTTCCGTCTTTTCTTTTGTCTGGAATAATGAGAAAAGAAGATAAAATTAGAGTGTTTTTTTCCTCTCTCTACTCAGAAAAAAGGGAGGGAAACTGAAATCAAAGTTTTCCAAGAGTGGAAAGTTGAATCGCAATACCCGCTAGAGAAGAGCTTAAGTTTTTTTTTTTATAGGAAACACGCCTTCCGGCAGTGGGCGGCTTCCGAGAAGCTGAGTAAATGATGCAGTGGATTTTCTCCGCACTCTTTGTTATGTTTCCTACCTCCAGCGGTACAGACAAATGAAACTCCTCCATTTTAAGCGAAACCACGAGGAAAATAACGAAGCCAATGCTTCATAAAGCTTCTAAGAGAGTCATGAGAGAAGCGAAACGCAGCCTTTTCGCGAAGACCATAATTCCCGCGGACAGCTACGAGAGAAACGCCATCCATGCATCTTCAGCCACCCACAGGAAAATGACATCCGAGGAAGAAACGTATCCACATTCGCATCCTCCCGAGACCCGGTTGGATGCGGAAACTCCTCGCGTTGCCTCAACGTTCATGGCGCTGCCTGAGGAAATGAGATTTCACGCGTTCGTTTCTCATTCCTTACCATCAAATGAGAAGGCGTAAATCACCATACCGTAGGATTCTAATTAGTGAATTCCGAGGACGTTTCGTTCCGGGGATGTCTACCACGCATGCCGGAATCAGGCAACTCGATCGAATTGGTATGAGGACTTCACGCCCTTTTTCCTTCGTCAAATTAGTTTCGATTGAACTACGTCGGCCGTTCTCGCTTTCCTCAGGTTTTCATCTTCTGCTATTTTGAGTGGGACGAACGCAGCATAGAATTCGAGGAAACGTAGAATCCCATCCAGGCAAGATTAAGTGGTTCATGAGCTGGAGTTTCTTTCTGATGGATTTCTAAAGTACTCTCGACAGAGATGTCCGCATTGAATCCATTTGTCGCACTGGCCTGATTGGCGATTCCCATCCGCAACTCCTTACTTCGCATCGGAAATTCGTCCGTTTTGCGTTGCACCCTTCGGATTTAAGACGTTTCCAATTTGATGGTCTCACATTTTCCCTCACAGAATAATGAGGAATATTATTGCCGAACATTCAAGTCCAAAGACATTTTCGGAAACCTATTTGTTCATGAGCTGATGAAACTCATGAACATTTTGAAAATTATAAATGAAATGAAATTACCGTTTCGCGTTGCCTCCATGACCCATTAACGAAGAAACCGGGAGTCAAAACGACGAACGGAACTCTTCCAAGGTGAAAGAACACGAATTCTCTAGCGTTTAACGGTTCCCCATGTATCCAAGGAACTCTATCTCGTTGATGTACGATCGCAGGATTCGGGCCATTTGCTTTCTGCGTTCTTTCCGTGCCCTTCAACACGGCTGCGGATGAATGTCTGAAGATCCCATGATAATGCGCGTTGCGGACAAAATCGATGGAAATCCGGGGGAGAAAAGCATTTTCTCTCGGGATGATGAATATGCGATCGTGGAATGCGTGGTAGATATTACATTTATTTCGGCAATATTCTTCGGAATTAAATTACGGCCGAGGCTTTCCTTGTTTACTTGACCTTTTCAAGGCCGGAATGAAAACGACTCGAAAATCCATTCTCTTCTTCGCAAGATTGACGAAACGGGGGAATTTTCCTCGGAAAGAGACAGCGAAATTAACCTCTTTCGCTACGCACTTTTTTCATGGAATATTAATTCCCCTATCGATCAAAATTTCCTCCACGTCAGCAAATCGAGTGCTAAATAAATATTTTGAGGAGATGAAAAATTATTTGATTATTTGAAATGGAGAGCGATCTCTTCCGATTCTTTTGGCTAGGGAACTGCGTGGGAATCCACTGGAATGCGTCTGCTCGAATTCCTGGATCCTCCGAAGGAACACCCGTCGTCAGGGCTCTTCCCAGGGACCCGCCTTCGAAGGAGGGAAGACTTGCCGGCTCCCCGACAGCATCTGCGGTTAATCCCTCGCTTCGTTTCGAGCTCTGGAGCAAAAATTTTTTTCTTGGTGATGGAGTGTTGGTGAACCTGAATTAGCGTCGGCTAATTTCGGCTTTACCGTTAATCGAACGTTTGTCGGAAACTGAAATCGGTTTTTCGGCTGCCCGTTCGGAAGAACTCCCACTCCGTTTTCCATGTCCGATCGTAGAAATGACCCTCGATTGATTTTTCCCTTTAGCCGTGCCCAAGGTGAAGGTGCTTCCGGAGGTGATCTCGGTGAAGGAGGGCGAGGCCTTCGAGGTCAACTGCTCCGCCATGGGGAAACCCGATCCTCAGGTAACGTTTCTGCAGTTTATGGTGCGATCGGTATTTACGGTAAACAATATGTTGGTATTTCCGGTTAACGTTTCATTATGGACGGCTGCACGAAGTGAATCCGTTTTTGCGCCAATTTTACTTTTCGAATACGGAACTGAGAGGAAACCGATCCGCTCCTCCAGATCAGACTGATTCGCATCGACAGAGAAAAGTTTCGACGACCCAAACTTGGTGAATGTGCTTCGACAGCCCCAAATTCCTCTCGGCTTCGATAGCCCGTCGAACGCTCTCAGCTTCGCAGAGATTCGGTCGGATCTTGAAAGATACCCTTTCTAAGACCGTGCTTTGTAGGGGGAATCACGGAAATCACAAGAATCGGCTGTTTTGCCGAGCAGATTATTATTTGCAATGCATAATAGTGCCCTATCCCGAGTCTTTTTTAGGATAATCCCAGCGGAAAGATAATAATCTCTAATCGGAGTTTTTTATTTATTCATTTATTAATTTTGTCATACCGAGAAATCTAAAAATCGGCAATCGGGGAGATAAGTTTGATGACATCTAAAAGCTACGATGTCAATTATCTGTTCTGCATTTGATTTCTTCAAATAAAATAAATCAGTCTGCATCCATTCTCAATCTGCTGGAAAAGACGTTTCACACTCCGTATTTTGCGCGTGGCGCGTTCACGCACGCGACATACGTTTCAGTTTTCGCATTTGCGCGTGGACTTTGAACTCCGAACGTCAAGAGAGTTTTCCTTTTTTCACGCACAGATCACGCCCGTCAGGGCCTGCGCCTGGATGCACTTGGGCTCGCAGGCGTGCCACTGCGCCGTTGCGAACGTACGACACACAGGAAACGCGAAATGGAGTAAATATATCGCGAAATTCGGGCGTTTGTAGTACTTCGCACATCGACTAATTTCACTCGGGATCCTCGTCCACATCGTCCGCCATTTTTAGGAATATCTTTCTGCAAAATCGATGAGGTCCCGAATGTTCGCTTCGCGATCCAACGTCATCGAGTGACTTCCCATCGATAAAATGGAAAAAATGAATAAATAAATAAGGAAGCTTTCCATCTTCATTAAAGAAACTTCGAAACCTGATTGTTCCATTTAAAATTTCACGAGGCAAGGCCGAACAGAGATACGCGGCAGAGCCATGATGGAAACATTATTTTTACGGACCGACGATGAGACGCAATTTATATGTTAAATGGCATATGGTAAACCGACCGTGACAACGGAGTGATGCCGGTCCAAGCGAAATAGATGGGGCGGATGAATCTCTCCACGTGTGATTCACTGCGGCCCAAAGGACGAAATTATTCCCGGAGACTCAACGCATCTTGTTTGGGAACGGGGGAGGGGGCGGGGCGGGGCGGGGGGGCTCTTTGTAATTAGTTCGTTGGTATTAGAATGAAATTCGTGGAATGGTTGAAGGAAGGATTTTGCGGCCGAGATTTATGTGATTGTTGTAGGGATTTTCGGCATGGATATCAAGGCTATTTTTTAAAACGTTCAGGAACATTTGGATCTTTCATAACTATCTTACCTATCCACGTTCGAAGTGGGAGTTCACCGCCCTACCGCCCTGCGTAACGTTCCTATGCCATAAAATTCTGGGGGGGCGAGATGCGAAAAAGCACTATTGCAATATTTTCTGAATTCTTCCAGAACGAGCAGCACAGAGAGAGAGAGAGAGAGAGAGAGAGTGAGAGAGAGGGCAGCGAGAAATCACTGGAGAAATCCGAGAAGCAGCTTGAGCCGAGCGAGGAAACCCGCGGTTAAAAATACATAGGAATGTAACGGTCATTGTGCAAGCCGCTCTTTCCCCAGGGCATTCCCAACTCTCGTTAGTCGGGCTTCTTCTTAGATGCACCTATGACATCAGCTACATTTGCTGCTGGACTCGGAAGGGAATGGGGAAAAGCGAGGTGGAGGCAGACGGCTGGAGTCGTGTCGGATGCATCTCGTCTCCGTCGTCAATCCGATTGCACGAACGATTCAATCGGGTCTGGAGCTTAACGGCTTTTGAAGTTCCCCATTTATCTCATCAAAATGATTAAACGTTTCATTTTTAAACACGCATCCACGTCTCTGCATTTGAGTGATTTGCAGTTGCACTTCCTGGTCATGCGAAAAGAACTTCCAGTTCTTTTCGCATTTTTTTTTAAATCTCGCAAAAATTCAATTTCCACGGGAAGTAGACGCGGACATGAATTCTGATATTGCAGATGCAGGAGAGTCCCGGCGATTCCTTGTTTCATTTTGAACCTGGAGACAAGCATACTCACAGAGCATTATTCAGAAATGCGATTGACTTTTAAATTTACTCATGAAATCACGTGTGACCTATTTGGGAAAACTACGAACTGGAAAAAAAAATCCCTAGGGCGAAAAGGACAAGTTTCAATTGTATTTCGTGATCATAAAATGGTCATGAAAAAGACATGAAACTAACATATGTTCTAGTTTGGAGACTGAGGGTGGACTCCTTAGCTACCCTCTTCGCATCGATCGCCTTCTTTTATTATAGATGAACGGGATGTTATCCTCTCTTCATGAAATACATTCTCCAAGCATGACCAAAGGCAGAGTAGAACTTTTAAATGCATTAGCCTTTGAGAGGCCAAAACAATTAGCACGGAGATGATTTGAAGTTTCGTCTCCCCTTCCCTTTTCCTTGAAAAAGAGGAAATGCATTGCTTGTGTGCAGCTGGCTTGGATATGGGGAGTGGAAGACGCGAAGAGGAAAGCGGAGGAACGTTGGATCGGAGAATCCCTAACAATTCGCATCCCTTCGGCCCGATGGAAGGACCACGGACAGAACCTGACATGCGTGGCCACCAACGACGCGGGCCGAAGTCAGGCTCATCTCACTCTCAATATCTCCTGTGAGTCTTCGCCGTTTCCTATACCCTGACCCACAGCGTGCAATTTTTAACCATCAGGTAAGATAAACTTACCCTGAGTGGCAAGTGACCATGAATCGCTGCTTTTTGACCCTTTGATGTCCATTTTAATTGGGAATTATTTCGATGACGTGCCTTTTTCCACGGGAGTCCAAGGTAGAAAGTGAGGAGTGAATTTAGCTGAAACTTGACTGAGCGACTCATATACACCAACCCATAATTTGACATTCGTGACAAGCCCATATGGGATCAAAAGTGGTCAAAGCGGCTAGGCATTAATGATATGTATGAGGTACATATGGATCAATTTGACCGGAAAAGTTCGAAATGAGCTGCAGTATTTGGCTAGTCCTGAGAAGTATTGGTTGTTTCCTGCTCCTACCAAAAGGCAAATACTCCTGCCTGACATGAAAGTTATCAGCTGTTTCTTCCAGGCACTCACATTTGCTTGTCACCATTATTTTTGCTTGTTAACGTTTTTAGGAAGTGAAAACATGAGGGGGGGGGGGGGAAGAACGAGCGTAAGAAGTTTATACTACATTTTTATATGATTTCCCAAGTCTTTGTTTACTTTATCGTATTGGTGACGTTTCGGAATTACTATGACGTCTCTCTTGTCAGCCTTCTTGATGATTTCTAAGTCTTTTTAATGTCCAACATGGCTTGATATTATTCTGGGGATAACAGAAACTTGAATTAAATTTTCAAAAGGCAACTAAGACTTAGAACTTACTAAGACCCTACTAAATATCAGAGATATTGTAGCTACTAGTAGTTCTTTGAGTATACGACCCTTAGTTCCGTCCCGACTCGACGAATCCTGTCTCGCGTTGCTAAAACCATTGACAATCACATTGGAAGCAGTCACATACCTGAACATCGTAATAAGGCTACCCCTCTCTTAGACCTAAGCCAGGAATTAAAAAAAATCTTATCTAAGGTGCAAAAAAGTGACTTTCCTGGTAGATTCATTGTCAGTATCCCGGGGACAGCACCAGAAAAATACATCTCATTTTGTCGATTCATTTTCGTGCGGTTTCAGAGAAGCAACTGTATCTCGGCCAGAATAATGATTGTATGTTTTCTGTTAGCGGCACTTGCTTTATTTTCATGCCAGCATGTCAAACACCATGAAATTGATCATCCTTTTGAATGAAAAGAAAAAACTGCTTCATGACGTCAAGTTGTCCATAATAAAGAATCTGCAATAAATTTGGGTATGCCTGCATTCAAGCCCATTCTGTTAGACACATCTTCATTTCCATTGATTAGTTGGAGCACTTCTATGACCCGTGCCATGGAGAGTGGCACTGGGAATTATCGGCTACGCACTTCCACCTCTTTTTAGATGCATCTTTCGCACTGGTGTACTTCACTGGGGAGCAGAGGGGGGGGGGGGGGGTGGAGCTGCACACCTGAGACTGAGTCTGGCGGGGCGCCAGGTGGTAATCATTTTTCCCCCTGATATCGCTCGAGTGGGGTTTAGGGCCCCCGCTCTGTTGCCCTGCCACTTCTGATGCTTTAGCGAACATACGCCACTAATCGTGGCGTATCCTCGCAAGCTTTTCTTTCGTGCCCACTACCACGGATTTGAAAACGGATAAATCAGACGAATTCCACTAGAGCCGTTGAAGAACGAGAACTTTCACTCTCACTCGTTCCGCACAGAACAAGGCGAGAGAATGAGGCTCTCGGTGAAAGCAACTAGGATGAAGGTCCTTATCGTTTTCCCAAGTCCAGGCGCATGGAAATTCCAACTTGCATACGATATATACGTCTATACCTCATAAATAAGGTAACGATTCATGCAGATACTTCCATAGAACCAGGACTAATCCTTTAACCCCCACCGACACAATCATAGACTTTCTCAGTCTCTGCCTAACTAACAACATCACTCAGTTTAATGACAAACACTACCTTCAATTGCAAGGGACTGTTTTGGGGTTTCAAATGCAGAAGCAGCTACGTCTGCATTTTCGTGGGAAACTTTGAGAAAATCGTGCTCGCGAAAGCTCATTTCCAACACTCTTTTTCGCTTCGTTTCATTGTCGACTTTTTTATATTCTTGCCACACAGATTTGAAAAATTTAGTGATTTAATGAACACCTCGAATTCCCTTCAACCAACCCCAAAATTCCACAATTACTCTAAGAACGTGGTGATTTTCCTTGACTGCACCGTGTCTATTAAAAATGGGTTTTTATCTGCCGGTTGTTGCACACAGATAGCCCCCCCCCCCCCCCCCCCCGCCCCCCCCCCCCACCCCCTTGGCCCACAAAACCCCCCCCCCCCCCCCCCCCCCACTACAGCCAAAACTATAGAAGCTTGGAAACCATTTAAACCAAAGCTATATTTGGTATCATTGTTCAATTTCAATCTATTCCTTCCAGTTTTGTTTTTTTCTTTCCTGGTGTTATATGATGGTGAAAAACCTAAATCCAACGATCGCACCTGTGCTATTACGTTTCGAGCTCATGATTCCAGACCTAAATTAATTACCCGTTCATGGGTTTCGGAAGAGATTAAAAGTTCAGTCTTCTAAGAAATCTTCTCTAATAATCTTCTCGTCTTCTATTAAAGCTTCTGTCTGATGAAGCCAACGTTTTAAAAGCGTTGATCACACGGCAATTGCTGAATGGCTCGGAGATTGCGAATTTCTGATCTGAAGATCTGAATGAGGCTGACAACATGCGGTTCTCCTGAAAGACCGAGTTGTGGCTCATGCACATAGCGGGCAAGCGGCATGGATTCTCCTTGGAAGCCTTGCAAAGCGACATCTCCAGGGTGTCGAAGGACGTGGAAGATGACACCGAACTCTTTAAGCGCCTCTTTCCACTTTACCCCGTTTGTCTTAAAGCTCTCAGAGACAGAGCCAGGGTGAATACAAATAATGATAAGTAAATTTTTAGATTCGAAATGAATGCTCTTCCTCACGATATGCGTTTTTTTTTCCCTAGCTATTATAGTCTAGGCTGTGGAGAGGGGGGAAGGGGGGGGGGGGGAGTAGGCTATCTTTGTGCAACACCCGGTACGTATGAATCCAATAAATCTACAGACTCCCTCTCCAACCTCAGCCAACCCATTATCGCTAAAAAAAAAATATATTCCCTTCCTTTCACCCTTGTTACTCGGCTATGGTGGATTTGTTCAACAAAGAATTCCTTTCCAAACGCCTCCGTGAATAAAAAAAAAGGATGAAAAATAGCTATCTGATTAGCGAGACCTAATTATGGGTATACTAAGTTCTCCTATTAATGCTTTGCGGTTGAAATATTAGAACGATATCGAATACGTTCCAGAACCTCATGACACTTAGGGCGAGAAAGGGACAAAACAGGTAACTGCGAAGAAATAGGAAATTTTTGCCGTATCAAGGTGTCTAAGCACCACTGACACTCGAAGAAATGTGGGAACTGCTAATGTATGATTTATTATTTCCATTTCTCGAGATTGAAAGATCAAAGAAACAAGATACGGAATAGATTATGCCAAAACCCAATGACAACATGCACAGAATCACGCGACACCGACGAAGATCGAACGGTATGCCGACGTCGGAAGCCGTGTCGAGTGAACATCTTGGCAGCAAACGAACGCCGCCACGAAGCTCACCCGCGATCGCACCAACTTGTACATTTGCGTTCGTGTCTTTCACGATCATAGGCGTGCCGCTGCGGAGGCCGTTCCCAATCGAAAAAAATACCATGCCAGAAGTCCTGTCAGGTCTGGCGACCAGGGAGGCCGAGGGGCGACCCGGCCATATCCGCCTGTCTTCAAAGCAAAACAACGCTTCAACTCGGAAAGATTTCCTTCACAGATAGAAAAGAAATTAACGATGGAGACAGGTTGCTCCAAAGAAAGTTCATCGGCATTATCAGAAAATCATTTGGAGCAACAAAAATTAACAGAAAATAATCGCGAAAAGGGCGTCCTTTGTACCTTGTCAATTTCATGTTAAAAAATGTTCATTTTCGTTTGGTGCAGGCTCATCTAATTTATAATTGGTATTTCATGCAAATTTCCACGTTGTTTCATCAACTAGAGCACATTCTTTCATGTGGAAAAAACTATTTTTAAATTATTGCCTTTGCTACTGAGTTTTAGCAGTTCAAAATCTTCCAGTCACTTTTGACACACCCTGTATATTAGATGATTCGAATAATATGTTGTTTTATTCCTTATCGCTCTGTCTACCTCAAATGAAAGTTTCATCTCCAATTTTTTTTCAGGTGTTCTGAATTTTCAAGCCACTTTCTCTAACGATACTTTTTAAATCACTAACTGGCATATTATTGTGCGAGTCTTTTTATCCCATGGCAGTCCCAATTTGAAATGTCGTGTAAGAATAACGAGAAAACCTCAGAATACCATGGTCATTTTTGTATTAAAAAAATAACATTATCTCTTTGTCAAACGTCATTAAATAATAATTTAACCTTTTGGTATATTTTCCCCTTTGGCCTCGTAAAACACATAAAATCAACGGGCGTAAAATGAGCACGAAAATAACTCGACCATTATCTCTTCACATGAATTAGTTCAAAACTCCTGAGCATTTCAGAGATGACCGCCTGACTTCCTCAAGAAAGATGAGCGTTCTAGAGATCATTTTCTCAATGAACCTAAACACAACGCCTAATCGAGCTAGGAAGGGGGGTCGGGTGAATGGCTCTGATGATTTCACATGGAATGACCCATATCCCATATGTTGCCAATCGGATGGAATCCGCGCAGACCTGCCTCGATTGTCGCCGATGAAGCCCGAGAATAAGCGAATATGCTTTAGGGTGGCGGCAAACCCACCCGCGACGGTTCGGTGGTTCTTCAAGGATAAGCCCCTCCAGGAATCCGGGCTCATCCGGATGATCCAGGATTGCCTCCCAGCCATGCCCACTGAAGAGAGCACTTGTGAGTATTTCACGGAAAGTAATTTCTATGAGTTATTTTTCGAAGGAAGCCTGGGGCTCAGTCCAACCTGAAAAGCAGGCAGGCAAAAGCGGTTGTCAAAAGTAAGATTCTAAAAACTTTTGAGGCTGGACACAACTTTAACTTAGCTATTAAGAAATTCCAGATGTGGACCGATGGAATGAAATGTACCTTGAAAAGCCTTTTTCTCTTTTTGCAAGCCTAATTCCCAAGGCCCAGTATCGTTCTTGCACATTATGAATCCCCATATTATTAATATCATAAATGAATTTTTTTTTTATTTGAAGTACTTGATTTTATCGATGAGCACCCTCACATACCATCATTATCGCTTCTCTTCGTCGTGCCTGAAGGCTGCGTTAGATCGGTCCTGGCGATGTACTCTCACAACGGAGTATACACGTTGATGGCAGAGAACGCCCTCGGGCGTGCGAACGGGTCAATGGATGCCCGGTTCACGCAGCCGGCAGACCTGGCCCAGGAGCGGGGACGCATGAAGTCCCATCACTTCCCTTTCCTCGAACCAGGCTTCAAAGGAGGCAACCTCTTCTACGAGCACCCGAGCAGCTCCCCTTCGAAACCAATGATGGACCTACTTTGGGTCTGTGGATTGTGTGCATACACCTGCATGTGCGTGTGGTTAAGGGGTGGTGTTCAAAGTCGCGTCTTCGCGAGGCTTAAAACCGGAAAGATTTTCAAAAGGTGCGAGAAATGCAATCGAATCAATCGAATGAAATAATGGTTTGTTGACGCAAAGGGAAATGGTTCCGAAATCGTACTGCTCACGAGTCGCCATTATGCCGGAGTTAATGAGGTAAATTGAACTACCGGCCTTTTGCCAAAGAATGTATATTTACAAGGTGGCTAAAAAAAAACCAAGCTATTGACTTAAACACGTAGTAAATCAGGCTGTAGGGCTTTGATTTGAATGGGCTTTTAGGCACACATTTAACACTTCTTCTGCATCATATATAAAATTACTTTTTCACAATATCACGAGTTTTTGTTTCATCAGAGCAAAAATAGCCGCTTCCATTTGGAAAAATGCTGCAATTGTTTGAGTTGGAGAAGCCACAGCTGTTGTCAGGAAGAACGCATTTTATTTTCTGTTTTAAGATGCGTTTCTTCCTTTTCCCACATTTTTTGTACTAAAGCAAAAACAATACCTGCAATAAACTGTAATAAACCTGCAAACAATACTTGCGTGAAGGCCTTGCGGTGATCAAGATCTTGAGATTGACGGAAAGCCAAAAAAATGAATGAATTTTCGACTTTTTCAGCGTTTTCCTTTTCTGGGCCTTTCAGTGCCTTGTTTTAGAGTTGCTGATCCAGTCCTTCAGAATTATACCCTCAAGACCACTTATTGTCCAGCTTTTTTCCCCCAGAAAATTAGTTTTTCATTCCTTTGGCTTCCCATTCCTTTTAAAATCACAAGGGTTGGCCCTCCACGCAAGGAGCTCGGTGCTGTTTTGCTTTAGCAACAAAAAAAGGTGGAAAATGAAGAAACACATCTTAAAGTATTGATACAGAAAATGAAATGCGCACTTATTGACAACATCTGTGGCTGCTCTGTGGCACTGTGGACAGTGGGGAGGCGGCCATTTTCTCCCTGATGAAACAAACACTCGTGATATCATAACAAGTAATTGTATATATGCTGCAAAAGAGTTGATCACGCTGATACATGCTAGCCCTTTCCAGAAACAATCTCTCAGACAGAATAGGATCCTATGTAGCTCTCCACCTGATGAAGACTCTCTAGACTTGTAAAGCCATAACCAAGAGTCATCACCGATTTATCGACTGAAGTTGATGCCAGAGGAATGTCGATACAATCACATTGGCCTTCACCCATTAGGACTGTATCGGCCAAACGAATCCATGGCGATGAGGAGATCGATGTTCTATGCGAAATATGCCCTTGGAATTAAAGAGAGTTCCCGGAAACACCTCTAAATGCCCGCGCATCTCTCTATTCCACCCACCCCCTAGTGATGCTACCCCAGTAGCACCCCAATATTGGATCAATATCGACTGCCAAGGAAGAAGCATATTGGCCCGGTATTAACATCCATATTGGACCATTATTGGGATTACTACCCGGAAAAACATCCGGCGAATATCGGTGGTAATAGTTTCCCTAAATTCTTTATCCAGTGGATGTGTTCCTATGGTGAAGGCATTTCTATATGCAGTACTAGTACGACCTATACCAGTACAACACCTTGCCCATGGACATGTCTGTCCCGTGGATGAGCAGAAGACATAGAACATTACCGAGGTTATCCTTCTCCTGAATGTACAAACAGTACATTTCAGAAGGTCCATTCCATACTGTTCTACGAAGTATCTGCGAATTCAGTCGCTCGTTTCCTCAGGATGAAGAAACAGGTTTGAGCCGCGGATATATTCCTTGTCCTAATACTCAATTGGGAAGGGTACTTCTGTGTACTGCGCGAAAAGCAAGGCCTTTACCTCCATCTAGTGGCCCGAAGGAGAACTTCAGCATTTCCTAAAAACGTTCAAGTGCGGTCGGGCACATTGGATCATCGCGTCGGTCCAATATTGGCTCGCTGATGGAATGGCAATATTGGGGGGGAGCCAATATTTATCCTATTTTGGCAATATTGGTGAATATGGAGCAAATCGTACCTAATATTGGTAAGGCATTGAGCCAATATCTGGTGCTACTGGGGTAGTGGCTTGTCTTGATTGTTGCTCTGTGCGAGTTGGAATCTCTGTGCGAGTTGGAATTCAAGTGCCTTTTCCCCCTCTGCATACGAGTACATCAGCGAACATTGAAACGTGCATTCTGATCCTTTCCGCGAACGAAACCGTAGCGAAGTCCGAATGCAACCGAGTCGCACAAATCCATTCAGCAAGGGCTTACCCTGTGCTTGAATTTCCTTCCACGAGAAGCGACCCCCTCGCGCCTCTTGAACGCTTCCATGCTGATTTCCCTTTTTTTTGAGGGAAGGCATCAAGCTGAACGTTTTCCGTTAGAGACAGGAGTCCTTCATTTTTGTGAAGCAATCAGAGGCATCGCGTGAAATTCTATATTGAGGTGAGAATATTACTTTATTTCTTGATTAATTTGTATACATTACATGTACTAGTACTTGCTGCATTCCTGAGGCTCTAAAATCATAGAAAAAAGGAGGGCACAGCGACTGGAGAGCTTACGAGAATTTTGAGTCTTCGGAGTTCTACTGGAGAGATCATACGCCCGTCTTTCCTTTTTAGCAATCACTCTATCACGACTAACTCATTTTGCGATGTTCCAACAAGGTGGAATTTCAGCACCCAACCGAATCAGCTCCTTTGCACCAACACGTGTTGAATGGGTCTGGGATTTCCATGAAGGAAATGATGTCAGTGACTCGAATCCTCATATGAATTTTGCGCGATAAACGGCACGTTTTCTGCGTGAGCAGATCCAATGGCAAGTCGAAGGCCGTGTGACACGACATACCACTAGGCAACGGAATTGCAGCAATTCCAGTTCACCCAACGCTCGTTTTAGTCCTGTACCTCGCAATATGTGAACGAGAGTCACATACAGAAATGTTTACCAATGCCACCTGGCCTGTGGATGAAGATACAACGATGCACTTTCCGCTACGAATTTAAATGCCCCGCTGCATTTAAATCGCTTTACCTGCATCGTAAACGTAGCGTTGAGCATACGCTAGTTCCTAATTTTTATTTCGAGGAGGATCGATATTAAGAGGTTGTACGCTGATCGTAGCCATGTGGTAGATCACGTCGGATGTCATGAAGCAGTATGGACTGCTACCGTGATTATCTAAAATCATTGCACCAAATGAAGAAAACGCGTTTGCGTTGTTGTGCCGAGAGAAAAACTCGCGAAAATTGCGCACGCGTTAACAGCCTCTGTTGCTCTGCAGTTTACCCAGCCCTACGCTGCCTCCATTCCGCTCTCCTCTCGCCATTCACCTTCTCGCATTACTCAGTGGTCGGTGCAGACCTCCTGCTTCCGTAGTCTCCCGTTTCCGTTATGCGCCGTATCACATCCACAATACTACGCGAATTAATCCATCCCCCCTAGCTTATAACTTGAAAAAGGCAAAGGCTTGATTGCCTATCGACTACATGAACCACGAAACTCCCCTAGCCTATAGAAAGGCAAAAAATTGTAGGCAATCGGCCGCATAATGCGAATCTCCTTAACATATTCTAATATTGTTTGGAACCTTTCCCTTTCTTTGTCTGAATTCGTCGTCACCGCAAGAGAAATCATGAGGCAATTTAAATTATCATAACATCACTTTACTAATAAATAGTTTTCTTTTATCATTTCGAACCATGTTTACGGTGAATTCCATTTCCTAGCGAGTTCTTACTCTTTCTTGATCCAATCTAATGATACAGACGATCGTCACAGACTTTTTATTAATTACATTGAATAAATATCCACAGCATCACGAGAATTCCTCTCGCTATAGCCAAAAATATTAGCAATGATTTACCGCGATGTCAATATTTCCTCTGGTGAGTCATATGTCCTTCATCATTTAAAATGTGATATATGCCACCTTAAAATAATGTATGTCTCATACCTTTAGCGTGTATAGTTACAAGAAAATTAGCAATCAAGCATAACGAGGGGGTTTCTGGAACATCTGCATGTGACGACTCTTCCAGGAATTTCGTTGAAGCATTCAAAGGAATACGAGTCCGTCCAACTCACTGCTTCCCCAAAGCTCGCGTGTTCTTTATTTTCTGTATTGTCATAGGGTTATTCCCTTTATGAAATGGAGGACTATAATCTGCAATAAATGAACTGACAAGGTTGATGCAGTGATTCAGACATCCATTAGCAAGGCTCGAAGGAAACCGCAACCTCGGGAGAACCATCTCAACACGAGCATTGCAATCTCCTATATAGCCTCCAGGGCCCCTTTCCTCTTGATTTCATGGGCTCACATCCTGGCCACAAATGAATTCAGGACTGATGCAGTGCAATCAGGTTCGAAAGCCTGAATACTTTCAAGCGAGAGAATCGCAATGAAATTGTATGCCGAACCATGTTGAAAATTGTTTCAAGGTTGAGTGACTCCTCACATATGCTATACAAATCCGTATCTCTCTTATTAACTCCCAGTTTATATTTGTGACTGCAAAGAGGAATCGTTCAAATCGAAAAATATGATCAAATACTGAGTGTCTTGCACAATTTAAAACACAGGCATCCCCTCGTCTCATCTCATCTACTAGATCCCATAGGCTGTGCGCATATGTCCGAATATCGATTTCAATAGCCGACTGGATCCTGTTTATTTCCACTTGGAGCATTGAATCAGAAAGCGTAATATAATATGCGCCTGAATCGGGACCCTTCCATCTGTATTCCGTCTGCGATCAATGAGGGAAATACTGAATATTGAGGCCGATTATGGTAATTTTCGTGTAGAGAAAAAGTTGAAATTCACGGAACGGCTAAATAAATTATGATTGTGCCTGGTCCAGACATTCGGGTTCATATTTCGCATCAGCCATGAAGCATTTCACTCGAGAAAAATTCTCGTAATTTTTTAGGTTCTATGGGTGACCAAAATTACAAATTCTTAATGGAATATGCGCTTGGAATGTCTCGGAAGGATCTCAGAAAATATACTTTATTGAGCCGAAGCTATTTGAGAATACAGGTACAGAATCAACAGCATCGTAGAAAAGTAAATTTTTTTTCTTGCTCTGGGTGTTTTACCGGAATATAGACAATAACTTAACGGCCGTCTGGTATGGTGTAAAGTAGATACAGATACACATGTCCGTTTAAGAGGATTTCTATCCCGTCCACAAGCCTTCATAGGGCAAATATTGCACTTTCATTTAGGCAAACTGCATATACTGTAGACTAAGGAGCTTCAGCAAAAATGCAGTCGAAATACATGAGCTAATAGCATGAAACGACCTCATAGCGCAGCGGTTTTCAACCTGAAACCTCTTCTGAAAAACCTCATCTGAAATGCAACACTTCTGACTTCAGCCAATTCTCTTAATAAAAGTGCATACCAGAAATATGCAATACAAGTTTATTTAAATAAAATTTGACTCTTATTGCGTTCTCCTGGTATGCACTCTTAATTAATAGTCAGGAAGAGTCAGTCTTATTTAATGTCAAGGAGGAATGTCAAGATCAATATTGTTGCTGCTAAAAATGTGGATATTGCTTTTTTCTACCATATATATGTCAACATTTTCTTATTCTGGGTATTGAGAAAAGAAGTTCAGGTCCCGTCTAAGTCATACAATTGAACTACGTGAGGTCACTTCAAATTTAGAAAGGCATCTTGATTTTCTGGGAAGCTAAAATCAGGCGCAGCTGAGAAAAAAAATTGAAGTTTGTATCCCTTTTTAAAAATACGGTTTTGTGAAATGACGATTCGAAATAGACATGTCAAGCACGAATTTTAGAGGTCCGGGTTAGGCTTATTTTTTATCGTGAATGGAGATTCGCGGGTGTGAAGGGGTGCCGCTGACATCTCACTGTCTGAGAAGGGTGCCGTTGCGATGAGAAAGTTGAAAACCATAGTAGGAGAATGACCTCATTAAAGAGTGATACCTATCAGAAAGGACTTGCTAAAAGTCTATTCATTACCAAAATAAGTAATTAGATGTACCGAATAAAGGAAACTGAGATGATTAGGTCATATGGACAGCCTGGGTGAGGGGCAGTGTAGGCAGTCGATATAACCGACGGACAAGCCCTTCCCGCTGGGGTTTTATATGACCAGATCCCAGGTCTGTGACATGTCTTCCTTTTTACTTGCAGGTGATGCTAATATCATGCTGCACATCGTTCGTCGTGATAGGCATCCCCATCTTCGTCCTCCTCGGAATGAGACACTTCAGGAATCGATCTCCAAGGTGAGAAGCACGCATATCCGTCATGTCTGAGTCCTGCCGCAACCAGGCGCTCCTATTGCAGTGCAAACTGATTTTTTTGAAGTTGCTAGCATCCTTTTTCTTTTATTGTTCTTCGTACCGCTCGTAATTTTCTTCCTTACTTTCTAATATGGTTTTCTCCGACATGAGGAAGTAAATAAGCAAAGGAAATGAAAACAAATATTCATTTTTTTTTTCCAGAGATTATCCTGTAGGCAGGAAATAAAAATAGGATTTGAATGAATTTCCTAGAATAGACATAACGTGAAAGGCTCGCAGGCAATACTGTGAATTGCAACTGCAGCGAATAATGATTTCCTCCTTGCATTATCCTCCAGAAATGGATTGGAGGTAATGCGGCAGAAAAGGGAATACGTCCAACTGCGTCTCCTCCGGGCCAATCTCCAATGCGACTCGGACGACAAGAACGCGACGTCGACTGCGACGACGGACCCATCGCACCTCCCTCTCGTGGAGATCCCCTTGCACGCCTTGGAGTTGAAGCAAATCCTCGGGAAAGGGAACTTCGGCGAGGTCTATTTCGCCATTTACAATTTCATTCCCGAAGAAGGGAAAGACCCGGAATCCTGCAAGGTCGCTGTGAGTCATTTTATGATGGAGGATTTATATGTCTGTAACATACTATTATTGCTATGTAGCGGCAATACTCGATTTTGTTGCTCCTGTATTAAATATGAAAAAGAAGGAAAATATGTTTGGAAAATATATAGGCTCATAAATGTCGGTTAATACATGCTTAGTCCTATGGAAACTATTCATGGATGTTTTTGATTCAGGAAAAAGAATTTTTTTCCGCGAAGGCTTGGAGGCTTTCTGCAACAAGCCCAACAAGGCCGTTAGCAACAAGCTCGTTTCGTGTAACAGGCAGTGGCCGTAATATCCAAGTTTGAACCTCGTTAATATGTAGAAGCAAAAGTTCTCAGCGGTTGTAGCAATATCCAAATTGTTGAAAACAGTCCGCGTTGCACTGAGCTTATAGAGCTGTCTTTTGAGGTCTGGTCAGTAGGCACTTCACGGATTGACTTGAAAATCGCCAATCACAGAGATTACATATTGATATAAAGGCCTGAGCAGTGGAAAATGCATTGCATATAGTGTAACAAATTTACAAGCGATTCTCTTTACTTTCCGGACACCTGAAGTACTTACACGTGAAGCCAAGATTTCAGGCCAGAGCTAGACCTAGTTTAATTTGAAGTAACCCTCTTTCGGCTTGAGTTTGTCTCTGGCTCGTAAAAATTATTTGATTTTACTCACTGAACGAGGCATTTATTTGCTTCGTTTTAGTGGTGCCTGGGGCGCGTCCTTGCAGAATGGAAAGACAAAGACGTATCTGCAGTATTTGGAATCAGTATTGTTTGCAGTTCGAGTATGAATGGAGAAGGACTTTCCTCATTTCATTATTTTTCGCACATGGCCCCACGGAGGAGGACAAAGGAACGTGCTTGAGTCCGGCCCGCACGACTTCTACGTTAAGTCTGCCGGAGACCTTTATAGGCTCTGGGCTGACCCGCTCAACTGCGTTATGTCCTGGCATTGGAGCGCATGGAAAACATGATGAAAGGATACGGAGTCATTTCGGCTTAAGTGTCCCAGTAGATGTCTCAGGTCATATCACAGATCTGCATGATTTTTGGTACGCAACATGCCCAAAATAAATGGGCGAGGTGACTAGGGTGTCTCGAAAGTAAACCAAGAAGAAATAGAAGAACTCATAAAACCAAGCAAGTACCTGATATAAGCTTCTGAAGGTCACAATGGAACATCGAAATATGATAAATACGTGGTATTATTATTCCAACCACGGGTGTCATTGCAGAAGAAATTAGCGAACGTTTCTTCCTCATAAGCATTGTGGGACAGCAACCTTAACTTTAATGACGTAGTTAGGGTGAAAATGACGTGTAGATTCCAAAAAACTTTGTTTGGATGCTATATCTCCCATAGTTCTCGAGATATAGCGTGGGACAAAAATGTCCCACAACAAAAAAAAATACATTTTTTTCGAAAAATAATAAACAAATGAGTGTCGAAATGAGAAAATATGTTACAGGTAGGACATACGAAGGCAAACCCACAGACAATTTTTTTTCGGCTGCATCGGTTTTCAAAACAAAAAAATCAAAATGCGCATTTCCGGACCCGTTTGGAAAAGATAATTTTTTGCTTAAAATATAATTTTGTCTGGTGACGACACAAATTCATATATTCACAAAACCTGCCATAATTTTGAAAGTCCATGACATTCATACTGATTCCTTATTCGCAAAAAGCATCGCCCTAGACTAATTCATTCAAATTTGGGAGGATTTTGAAAATATGGGACAAATACGTCCCTTGGTCCTGAAAGGTTTAACGGCCTGGGATTACTTTCAATCTGAGACTGAGACAATGACTCTAGCACGATGAGTCGCTTCAGGTAAACGGTCGCTAAAGTCGCTTCAGGTCGCTAAAAAAAAACCTACTACATTATAATAGTGAAAAGTTAAATTCTAAAACGCTTGAAATAGAAAGACGTTGTTCTGTTACTGTGGCAGTCTGACTCCAGTGATGACCAATATCACATAGTAGTTTTATTTTATGTCAACATATTGAACATGGGTCGTGAGTCAGCAAATCTAATCACTCTCTGTTTTCATGAGAAACTGTATTTACATGACTTCTTTATTGATTTGAATTCTACAATTGATTTCTTGATTAATATCGATTCATTAGTTTGAATTGAAAGTGGCGAAAACCTGCATCCCCAAATCACGCCGGACTCTTCTCACTATTATTGCACAGGTGAAGTTCCCAAAGGAGGGGAGCAGCGAAGAGCACAAGCGGGATATCCACCGGGAGGCGCAGATGCTGGCGAAGATGCGACATCCCAATATCATCCGGCTTCTTGGGATAGTTAGGGGCCAGACGATAGGGATCGTCTCCGAGTTTATGGCACTTGCTGACCTAAATGGCTTACTCAGGTACAATCCTGGGGTGAATTCACGACTGCTCTATTCCAAAATGCTTTACAAAATTTTCTCCAAAGTAACCAAAGTAAGTAAGTAAGTAAGTGTAACCAAAGATTGCAACAGAAATATTATAACAAATTTCCTTCCACATCGAGACTGAGAAATTCTCATACTCTATAAAGGATAAGCCTTTTCTGAGACGCGCGGCCTTCATAATATATCCACCCTTTGCCACCGGCAGTGAACGACAGGTGGATTACATGAGGAGAGAGGGTGAGATTCGAATCAGGTACACTTTCCCCCAGTATGTATTTGGAATCAGGAGAAAATCTCTTGGTTCGTGTCGTCGGAACCTAAGCGCGAGGATTTCCTCGTACGTGTAGATATTTCTAGTTGCAAATCCACCCTGAAGGTGGACTTTTGCATGGAGGGTAGCTATTTGGAACCATATAATATCCTTCCTCGAAGATTTTGTCTTGCCAGACAAAAATTTTCGTTGGTTTATCGTTGGGCCATAGCTGGGTAGTCGGCTGATCTTCGGCGAATGATTGACCGACCAACTCACACTTGCGAGTCACTTGTGAGTTGGCCGGCCAATCATTCGCCGAAGATGAGTCAATGTGGTTGAGAAGGTTCCGAAAACCGGCGCGAGATGGAGCCAGCAGGGAGTCACTTCTCGGATTCTTCTGAAATGAGTCCCCTGTCCCTTTGATAAAGATCACAATGGTTTCTCACATAGATCTTAGAGGGAGACTATTGAATTCCTTGAAACATATCTCAAAAGATGTCACCTAGCCCAGGAATGAACCAGGAAATTCCTGCTAGGAGGTTCGTGGGAGGATCCTTCTACTTTCCACGATTGGCCACAGGACTTCATCATTGTCACTTCAAGACATTAACAAATCTTATTACGTGTAAGTAGATTCTAGCCTCCTGTGGGAGAACAGATACTCTTGCATTCCCATGTGATTCCGCTTCTGGATGCCTTAACATCCGGAAAGGGTGTTGCTTGGGATATGCTCGGCTCTTGGTGAAAGGAGAGTACCTGTGTAAGGTACTCGGGCAAAGTACCGATCCTTTATTTCTCCCGGATGAAGGAGTAGGAGGGGGTCGAAGGATGCATTCTAACTACTCCCAGATGCTTAATGCTATATATGCGACTCGTGTCGGTTTTTTCCCTATATCCTTTCACCATTGTGAAAAGTCGGCTCATTGTTGCGACACGTGTGATTTCCCAGCAATGGGCCTATGTTGGCTCAATGATGGTCAACAGGACATACCTCACCGTAAGCCGGTTTAAAAAAACCGAAAGGCAACCATATGTCAGTGATGGCTCAAACAACGGCTTATAGACGCGTTGACGAAAAGCCATCAAAGGCCCAATGAAAAATTTTTGACTGGGTGAAAGCCATCTCATCCAACAATTTTTATGAACTGGAAGTTTGAAGATGGATGGCATGACCAACTCCGAAAACGAGAACCGATTAACGTTCTCACAACAATTGCGGACGAAGATAGAGCTCATGCAGTGCCGCTTTTCCAGAGCGCATGTTGAAATTTATTTGGCGGAGGATATGAAAAAAGGCGGTCTTGCAAGTACAAGAACGATTCCTGACTAGAGATCACTTATATAATCTGATCTGGCAAATAGGTAGCTCAAAATCGGTTAGCCAATTCAAGATAGTTCATTTACTTGGATGACCCAAACGATACCAAAACTGAGATTTTCTCTTCAAAGAAAGAGAAATAATCGGCTAAACGAAAACCCACTTTTCTTCCTCGTATCCTCGGTGTATTCAAAGTCCATATGTTCCAAATAAGGAGGAAATAATGAAAATTCACGAAGCCTTGTAGGTATGGATTAATTGATTAAGCATTTTTCTCCGCAGTTGGATGAACAAATAAAAAATTTTGGTTCCTAATAATAATGTGGATTTCAAGGACTCTGCTTTAAAAAAAAAAAGAATAAACCTGTTTCATCTCTTGGCTCCTCCTCATTAATTGCAAACTTTTGAGGAACTTGAAATGTAACAGGATATTTACTGGGATGAGGCAGAAGGAACTTTTTAATAATGAAGGCACGAAGAGTGGCACTGCGTATTTTTCCGTAGGAAACTTGGTCCGGATTCGAGGATGTTTGGAGGGGAGAGCGGAAGCGAGGCGCAGCTGGGTAAACTGGGACTGGAGGACTTGGTCCATGTTGCGATCCAGGTTGGGTCTGGTCTCAAGTACCTCACGGATCGACACTTCGTCCATCGGGACCTGGCCACGAGGAATTGCCTGGTTGGGGAGAACCTCACAGTCAAGATAGGGGACTTCGGCTTGTCTAGGGACGTCTATAGCTCCGACTACTACCGGGTTCGTGGCTTAGTCATCTTCTGTATGTATTAATGTATTGACTTGTATGTATTAATAGTTTTACTGGTGGTGGTACAGTCAGTTTTTCATTCTGTAAATAATTATCTGTCGTCCCAGTCGACGTCACGTTCGTGTCGTCCGAGTCGCATTGGAGATTGGCCTGGATAAGGCGCAACTGGACGTCGTCACTTTTCCCTTTCATTCCCTCCCTTTCCTTTCTAGATGTGAATGCAACGAGAAAATCCTTATTCCCTGCAGTAGCCAATCGCAGTATCGTTAGGAAGCCGTTTACGTTATGCCCGTCCTAGGAAAATCCTTATTCCCTGTTTTAATTTTCTGCATACAGGAGAAGCTCATAAAAGCGTGTTACGAATATTCTTTAGAATTTACCTTTGCTACTTTACTTTCTCATGCTGGATAAAACCCGTTGACTGTTGAAAGATTACTAGCAGGCTCTTGTCGCATCGCAATGGAAGTTAATAGTCTGCATTCCTACTGAGGAATTATGGTGGGAGGTGTCAACACATAACGAGATCATAACAAGAGAGAACAATAAAAAACCTGTTGCCCAAGGAATTTTACCACAATGATCAAAAACGGATCATTCAAATGACTAAACTATTTTTCAATGGCTTTACTTTTCTTCAACCCCAACCTCAATCCCTCAACCTAATCCCCCTCTCCCTTTCCGCTTCCGAACTCACAGGTTAGGCCTTTTTCGTTCAAAAGAAACTCATTAATCGACTTACTGGGCCAATTAGGCTAATAATTAATTTCTGGTACTCCGAGGTCTTGTCGAGGACTAGTAACGTTAGGCCAATCGCAGGCCGAATTGCGCTCTCGTGGCTCTTTTAAGAGAGTACGTGTAACGTTAGACCAATTAAAGGTCAGTTACATAAAGGAGTTATTAACAGCGGCTAATTTCTTTTTTCACGGGGAATTTGTGCGCTGAAAGCAACAAAAATGACACATTTCGTCATCTACTGGTCAATATCTTTCGTTTGGTTGGTCTCTCTCCTCCCAAACCTCCCCAGGAGTGGCTACCCAGGGGGAGAGAAAGCAAATACCGGTATTAAAGTCACACCTTCGAGAAGCGAGATTCAGTGATCTCCAAAACCCGGGAGATGGAGCTTCAAATTTTCTGGAGCGATTCTGTGTTTAGAGAGCTTCTTCATACGTTTAACATCAAGGACAACTACGAGAATCTCTACTCATGCTCTGTCAACTTAAACCAGTGCCCTACCCCAAGTTCTTTTTATTATCCGCGCCATCGCGGATAACTAAATAAAATAATGATCGTCCAGTGCTGAAGACCCGATCACGAGTCAAATATTTGGAAGAAACGGACCAGAAAGTAAAATCGATAGACTTTCACTATTATGACATGATGTCTGGATGAATGTGGAAGGTCTTGTGACCATCTCAACCTAACGGAAGGCTTTCCTCCTTTCATTCGACTCAAGTCAGATCAATACAATTGCCCTTCCCCAACCCATTTCCTTTCTTCAAACCATTCAGTTTAAAAAAGTTAAACTTTTGAAACCTAAAAAAATATTTATTTCACACAATTGCATCACAGCAACTCTCCTATCTTCATTGCATTGTCGCCATACTATATTATCAATTTTTTCTTTCTCGCATATATTGGCGGAGTTTACTCATTGCCGCTCTATAGTTTTCATTTCCAAATTCATCGACGGTTTTTTT